GAAGGGTAACTGATGTGATACAACAATTTGTATACGGGGTAAAGTTGGGAGTTCATAACCCACTTGAATCAAACTGTGAAAGATGATGTATTAAGAACTGTGTAATGTTTTGAACGACCAACAATAAAGTAAAAAAAAAAAAAAATAGGGCTGGAGATATGGCTCAGTTGGGACTGGGGATATGGCCTAGGTGGTGGAGTCCTTGCCTTTCAGGCACAAGGCCCTGGGTTTAATCCCCAGCACCCCCCCACCAAACACACACACACACACATGAAGCAAAATGAAAAAACCTCTTTGATAATTATGCTAAATGTAACTGGAATAAACACTTTCTATAAAATAAACAAAAAAGAAATTCTAGGACTGGATTAAAAAAAAGACCAAACTTTACATTGCCCATTGAGAAACAAAACCTCTAGCACTGTATGAAAATCACAGCAGACTGTGACCAAGAGGAGCTTATCCAGGAGCAGTAGACTAAGTCAGTGACTGATTCTTCACACAGAGTAAAGGAGAAAACTCTTGGACACATCCCAGGTGCCTACTGGCAGGAACACACAGGCGAGCACCATGCTGCAGCACAACCCGCTAATAGAAGACTGAAGGAAAACTCAGTCATATAGCAGGACCAGTGAGTCGGAAAATGAGCAAAAGGAACACGGCCACAGAGCACTGCAGCGCAGTTCCACTCCACCCAAGTCCCAGGACAGGCAAGGCCAGTGCATGGCAAACACTCCCAACAGCAGCAGCCCCTGGAGGATGGGGGATGAATAGACCCGGAGGGAATGCAGGGAAATTTCTAGGGGATGTGTGTCCCACGTACTTTGAGAGGAGTGTGGGTAAAGCAGGTCTATGCAGTTTAAAAATCTACAAGTTGTACTTTATGCAAATTTTTAAAAACTTAAGTCTGGTGAATGGCAGCATGCTGAATGTTCGGGTTAAAGGGCACCCATCCAGAAACCTACTCTGAAAGACATTTTCGAAAGATGGATGAACATAGGTGATAAACAGCAAGATGTGGATTACTGCAGACCATGACTGGTGGCTATGAGTGAGTGCTCACTGCATAATTGTGTAGTTTTCTGTACGTTTAAGACCCAGAAACAGGTCCTCTTAGATCCTCTGCTTCTTCAAATCAGATTTCCCCAAATTCAGGAACAGAGTGACCTCAGTTCTTGTAAACGCACATTTCCCACACATCTTCATTACAAAAAAAGATCTCAAGCAGCTATTAACCTTGTATTTTAGATTTTAAGGGCTAGAAGACATAGTAACACTCACGTATCCTAAGAGTCCCAAACTTTATATATCCATGACTAGATTTTTTTGGGGGGGAGGGGGAGGGGGATTGAACCCAGGGCCTTATGCAAACAAGGCAAGCCCTCTACCAACTGAGCTATCTATCTCCCCAGACCCCTCCATGACTAGATTTTGAAATCCTTGAGGTTTAGGGGAGTTTAGGATGGGAACTTCTAATCTAATCTAGTTACTTATGTTTTCTAGATCTAACACATTTATTCATAGGTAATCTCTCCCAAATATAATTTTTTATATATATATTTTTTAGTTTTAGGTGGACACAATATCTTTATTTTATTTTTATGTGGTACTGAGAATCGAACCCAGTGCCTCATGCATGCTAGGCGAGCATGCTACCACTTGAGCCACATTCCCAGCCCTCAAACCAGCATTTATAATGTATTGCAGTACCATGTATTCAATTTGAGAGGCAAGAAAAGAGAGCCTCCCACATGAGAGAGCTGCTTGGCCTCCCACCTGCTGTTCGCCAAGAGCAAGAGCTTAGGCTTCTGAACAAGGCACGTACCTCCTGTTCCGCCTGGTAGAGCTTGACGGTGATATTTCTCTGGAAACCCTCATCACTGGCTTCATAGAACACTCCCAGGCTGGTAATGACAATCGGATGGAGCACTCGGAAGCTCACGCTGACGACCTGGGCCTCGGAGAGCCCAGATGAACCTTCCTCAGAAAGGCTGAATGCCTCGATTTCCTGATTCAAAACTATGGAAATAACGAGAACATGGGTTTTACACAAACAGATATGAACTTTTCCTTTACCAACAAGAAGTAGTGGAGTCTATAATTCAAGCAACTCCATGGAGGCTGAGGCAGGAGGATCAAAAGTTTGAGGCCAGCCTGAGAACATAGAGAGGCCCTAGGCAACTTAGCAAGACCCTGTCTCAAAAGGGCTGAGGATATAGCTCAGAGGTGAAGTGCTCCTGGGTTCAAGTCCCAGTATCCAAAAAAATAACAGCAAAATATAGGTAACTATTTATTATATGATTTTTCACAAATGGCAATTTTTTTTCATGTTTGAAAATCAAGGCTGCTCCTTGAAAAAAACCTATTTTGAAATTTAAGAATAAGCTTTCAGGGCTGGGGTTGTAACTCAGCAGTAGAGCACTTGCTTAGCACATGCGAGGCACTGGGTTCGATCCTCAGCACCACATAAAAATAAATTAAAAAATAAAAGTATTGTGTCCAAAAAAAAAAAAAAAGAAGTTTTCAGCCAAATTTAGGTAAATCATTCAATTATCATCACAGCCTTAACAGGGTTTTGCATACACGGTCAGACACACCTGAAAACCACAGGAGAATATTAAATTCAGGCCAACCAGAAGAACTGGATGAACAGAAGTAACAAAAATGCACTGACTGCAGTCATGAAGTCTGTTCTTGATAGGCAAATCCCCCAAATGCTGCTTCTTGTCGGCCAATTTAAGAATGCCTGCTTACTACCACAGATGAGAGGAATCTCCACAGCACTGAGGCTGGCGTCTGATCCCCGCCCCCCACCCCAGGCACCTTCACAGGCTCTGGGTGGGGGCCTTTTCCAGCTCGCAGGTCCACAAACTAAAGTGCAGAGACCTTAATCTATCTACCAAAGCTGCAGAAAGTGGCAGAGGAGGCACCAAACCCAGCTGCAAGGACTCCAAAGCCCGTGCTCCTTCCCCTCTCCCAGATGGCTGATGGGCACCCAGTCCTTCCCAGTTTACCTCCCCAGGTACCAGGAGAGAATCACCAGAGATCATGTGAAACCACCAATATGGCCAAGAACATCAGAGCTACTTTGAGAAATGATATAAAGCCTATGTTTATTTGAAGTTATCATAACAAAGTTCTTACAGTGTGCACATTTTTTTGTAGCTGTAGGTGGGCAGCATGCTTTTATTTTACTTATTTATATGTGGTGCTGAGGATCGAACCCATGCCTCACGCATGCTAGGCTTTGCCACTGAGCCTCAGCCCAGTGTTCAAATTTTGATTATACCACTCCATCAGTTTTAAGTCTACATGCAAACCCACATAATTACTTAATTTGTATGCACAGGAATATACACTTTGGTCACTCTGTATGTTCAGTATTAATAAAGATTAATTAATGTTTTTTTAAATAAAGATTATTTACTTATTTTCAGATAAATAAAAATGGTATTAGGGCTGGGGCTGTAGGTCACTGGAGAGCTCTTGCTTAGCATGCACAAGACCCTAGATTTGACCCTAAGCACCATATACACACACAAAAAAGTTAAATTTATAAGTTTTAAAACCTTATAATTTCTTTCCACACACCTGCAGATCATTTAGATTCCAACCTCAGAGTTCCTAGGAGCTATTTTACACTTGGATCTTCAATAAAATGTGACTAAAGGGAAGTGATGGCTCCTAGTCAATCACAGACATGAGCAGGAAGGAAAAGCGGACAGACTTCGGTCAGGAGCTGGGCAAGAACCGTCAGGAGTCCAGACTCCAAACACAGTGGACAACAAAAACTCTCTTTTGTATATGCAAGAAATAAAGAACATCAAAAGTAGAAGCATGGGCTGGGTTGTGGCTCAGTGGTAGAGCGCTCGCCTAGCATGCACGAGGCCCTGGGTTCGACCCTCAACACCACATAAAAAATAAATAAGCAAAATAAAGGTATTGTGTCTAACCAAAAAATAAATATTAAAAAAAAAAGTAGAAGCATATCTGTTAAAAGCAACTGGTCAAACACATCACAACAGTCATATTTTTTGTCTGAAACATGCCTTGCACTCAAGCTCCCTAGACACAGGAAACCCCGTTGCTTTAATAATGCTACTAATCAAACCTTCTACACACCATAGTGTCATAATTAATGCCCAGCATGACCTTCTAAGGTACTGAAATAACTATAAATGCTTTCAGGGTAGTCAAAAAGATAAAGTTAGATTCAACATTAACTTAGATTTTATATATTTAAAAAAGTGTGTAACCCATTGAATACATATATCGAAATTTTCTACTAATGCAAAGGTCCATTCCTTCACTATTAGTGAATAACAGCTCTTCAAAATGAAGTTCCAGATGGTTTTCCTGGTTGCGGTCTGGTTCTGGTTTTCAAGGGTAACTTGCCGTAGGCTACCACATCATCACCAATACAGCATTTTTAGGAGTTCAAAACCCTTTGGGCTTCCAGTGAAAGCTAAAGGATCCTCTTCCCGGAACAACACACTTACATACAATGTTCTGCTTACAACATAAACATTAATTAACATTAATTCATTAGACATCTTAAGTAAGAAACCCCGCTATATAACACAGACCCAAATAACACGGCCCAATTTACTTAAAAGCCAACTAAAACCTAACCTCATAAAAAGGTAGGTTCTTTAAAATGAACTAATACGGAGCACTGCCTATGCTGTGCCACTCCCTGGCACATGCACATCTTCAGACTCCCCGTGGGGGCAGCGTGTCCTGCTTCCAGTCCTAGGAGCCCTCTCAGACACTTCAGTAGCCAGCACCCTCCTTGCAGTCATGTACAGGGGACAAAGGGAAGGCACAGAAGGCCCCACAGCCCGAGTAGGGCAGAGCCAGCCACAGAGCCACACTCTGACCAGTACACTAGCACTGTCTCTAAAAGCAACCTATGGGTCACTGCAAAGGTTGGACAAACCTCAAAATGCCAGAAATCAACTCAGCCCACTGAATACTGTGAAAAGTTGAACCACAGCTAAACACAACAGAAAATACTAATAAACAAATACAGGAAATGCTGAAAGAGAATTGGCACTTCCTCAAACTGGGCTGTTGAATCCAAGGTCTCTGACATCCTAGGAAGTACTCTACCACTGAGCTACCCAACCCCAACCCTTTTTATTTTACCTTGAGACAAGTTCTTACTAAGTTTCTGAGGTTAGCCTCAAACTGTGATCCTTCAGTCTCAGCTTCCCAAGCACCTGGGGTTACAGGCATGTGCCACCATACTGGACTCCCACACATCTTTAACTCTCAAGAATTAAAAAATACTACATGCATTTAAAGTTTTTATGATTCCTTTTGTAGAAGCTTAGGCAATGATTCTAAGAGAAAGCTGACTTACAGTATTTGTATCAACACTGTTATAAATTAACTGGTGAAATCAGCAGTTTCCAAAGTTCAAATTTCAGTAATTCATGATTCTAAGCATAAGGAATTTCCAGATGTATCTGAATATCACTGAAGAATACTCTTCTGGATCCTAAAATTCTATATCTGTCAAGAAGCTCTACAAATACCCTGAGTGATTAGTCACTCTGTCGGAGAAGAAAGACACACAAATTCTCATGACAAATATTTAGTCTGTTAAAAACAGACTCCAGCCATGTTCAGTGAAGCACACTTATAATCCCAGTAGCTCAGGAGGCTAAGACAGGAGGATTTCGAGTTCAAAGCCAACCTCAGCAACTTATCGACACCCTATCTCTAAATAAAATACAAAATAGGGATAGGGATGTGGCTCAGTGGTCGAGTACCCCCAAGTTCAATACCCAGTAACAACCCCCCCAAAAAAACAGACTCCATGCCACTTAACTTAGCAACTTTTACTCAACACTTGAGCTGTGGATGCAGCTTGGAGGAAGATGACCTACCTGGGTTGGAGATGTTGAGCAGTCTGCAGGAATAGGGGTCTTCTCGGTCCTCCACAGGCACGTCACAGCCCCTAGCACCTATGATAAACTTCACAAGCACCCTGAAAGACACGTGGGTATCCACAAGTCAGTGACCTTGACCACACCCGTGCCTGCTTCCTCACCCATTCCAGAACTTCTATTTTGAGATGCAAGTGTTCATGAGGATTAATCTCTACAAGACTACGGTATTTGCATCAACACTGTTATAAATTAACTGGTGAAATCAGCAGTTTCCAAAGTTCAAAATTCAGTAATTCAAGATTCTAAGCATAAGGAATTTCCAGATGCATCTGAATATCACTGAAGAATACTCTACAGTCTTCTAGTCAAGCAAAATGGGGGAACACGCAAATGGCACAGTGCTGACCACAGCACATGCATTCTGAGAGAGCCCTCTGCTGTGAGCTGCACTGACAGCACTAACAGCAAGCAGGAGCAAACAGGCAAGCCACGCAGAAGCAAACTACCCTGAAGCAGCGTCTCAAAAACCTCTGAGGCCACAATTTTCCTTTTTTGCTTTCTTCTGCTCCGGCAGGTACTCCTGCTGCTCGAGCTCAGCCTCCCCAAGGGGAGGCTCCCGCCACTCCTAGACCTCATCCACCAGGACGCCTGTAACCGGCTCTTCTCCTCCTGAGCTGCACCTCTGGAGCTCTTCTCAGTCTGCTAACTCTTTCCACTCCCTCCCCCTGGACAGTGTCACTTACCCCCCAAGGGTAAACTAGCCTGGGAATGACTCAAACTAGTATCTTTAGTTTGGACTCATCCTCTAAGTAAAAGATCCCTAAGTCAGCCACCTTTACCTGCACAACCCACTGGCAGGTGCGTCCTGAACCGGCTAGTGCCATCTCTCACAGGAATGCTGTGAAATGATGATTAAGCACAGCCTTTATTAAAAATTAGAATTGCACATCTTACCATTAAATATATCAAAAACAAGGAAATGTTCAGATTCACCATTCTCTGATTTTACTGTATTTTACTATTGTGCACTGCCGAAGTCTGGCTTGGCACAAATCAGGAGCCACTTGTCAAAAAGAAACTAACTTTATTTTTAGAACTACAAACGCCAAACAAAACAGCTCCAGGGAAAA